CTCTCGCACCCCAACAAAGTCAGCTCCATTTTGCAGTTATATCGACAAACTAAATGCAGTCAGATCATTTGCTGTTAAACACATCCCAAGTGTGGTGAATCGATTCGAGGATGCAGAGGAAACAACGCCAAATGATGAAAGCATAAATTTATTTCTGAAGTAAAATAACGAAAAAGAAAGATCGAGAAAAGTGCAGAGTTCCAGGCGAAACGGCAGTTCAATGCCATACAGAGCCTGTTTCTTCAAGGTGCAGTTCTCTTTTGCAATATACAGATATCTACAAACAAAAAGGAAAGCGCAAAACATGAAATCGTAGACGAATGTATATGACACGCTGACCGTGAGAAAGAGAATAGAACTGTGATCAATTTGATGCAGACCTAAATTGGGAATGAAATTCAAGTTTCGTGTGACAATTCGTGGACAGATATCTCAAAATGGTGGTATGATGATGGAAACAGTGGGCGGAAAGCACGTGTGAAGACCGAAAAACAATGAGGGTGAACTTTCGGGCGAAAAAGAGAGCAAAGATGAGGTGGACTAGTTGGCAATCCCAGAGTCCCTCATTTGAATGTTTTGGCGAAAACCTGCGCCAGTCCGTACGGATGAGGATGCCAGATAAAACAGAAACAAATGGACAGTCACAGTGAAAGGCAAAAGGTACACGTGCACAAGAACACAGTAACAACATATTACTGCGCAGCAAAAGGCGCAGATGCAAGGTACCTGGCACAATATTGAACACGACTTAATGAGACTAAGGGGTAATATGAATAAACACCCCTTTCGCCGAACGAAAGAAGTAGTAACGTGGGGAATCGAGGGTCGATCGGATTGTGCAGACAGATGTCGAAATCATTAGATCACACTCTAGAAGCAGATGGTGAACGTGAGCGGTAGTGATACTCGGGTGGTTCGCGGCCGAGGACGACATCTTCTGTGATGACAACCGCTGATATCTCTGAGCCAGGTACTTCATAGCGCGCTTGGAGTAAAAGATTCTCCTGAAACAAAAAGAAACCGAAACCGATTGAACAGTTAGCAGTAGGACAAAACATACGAGCCAGCACTATTCGGTTGAATGTGATGCACGTGTCCGTCCGGGACCAGTAAATGAACAAATCGTTAGGAATAGCAACACTCAGTACATGCTATCGATTGGGGCAACGACACAACGGACGGAAACAGGATTCACAAAAATGATATTGTAGGGTGAACAGCGCGTGGTTTGCAATCTTCTAACCCCATGCCATATCTTTTCATTAACTTATTCTTATGACAACCCTCAGGTTAACCACGCGTCATTCACTAAAATTGCGTCTGTATAGAAAGACAACCAGTAAAACTAAGGTTTTATCACGACGGTCGTCAACAAAGCTGAAATTTTCTCGACATAAAACGGACCGAAAAAAACTATTGAAAAAAGCAATCGAATTTATAAAGAGCTAAAGAATGAAGAAAGGAGAAGTTTATCGATATGTGACAGATACGGTTAGACAACTATGGGAAACTGACGTGGGAAATGATGCTTAAAGTGACTGGATCATATCGCTGTTGAATAACGACCACGTTTTGCAGTACGAGTGACTAGAATGCAGGCTTCTAATGATAAGCAGCGATCTGTCAACAATAACTTCGTGGCCAGCACTTGATGGTTGGGTAAAATGCGGGAAGTGAGAGTGGGGCGGAAAAGCGGGACAACAATCTATGAACGAGTTTTTTAGATGCAGATGAAAATGAGCTAGGTTTGTAATGGTGAAAGTATTCGAAAAAAAGATTCACCTTGAAGTTCACCTCACGAACGGACAAACTTCTGCGCATGCGTGTTACATATCAAGCAGGTGCAATAACATGATAAACTTCAACTTCAAGCGGATGTTACACGACCACAGGTTGAATACTTGTTGGTACGCTTAAGTCACCGGTTTAAACGCACTAGAATCCAAGTGATAAGGTCAATTTATCTCTTGGCCAAGTCGTACGCATGAGATCAACTTGTGTGAGTTTCCTGAGCAAATAACACCATAAATCACCAGGTCCGGTACCTAAACGCACCACGTGATTTACCCTTCCACGGCTGTGCAATACGACGAGAATACATCTGGACATGGTGTTCTGGCTTGTGTACCTCCATGACTCTGTGAACTAAACCAGATGGCTTTCACAGCGGAAAAACCAATCATGCCCGAAAGGTCAATGGGTAGAGGCCAGCAGAAGCTCGGTCTTATAAGGCCCAATGATTGACCACTTCCTGGCCTCCAACCGGGGATTTTCGATCCCGGAGAGGTCACTTCAGCACACACGCTGCCTCATGGGTCACATGTTCGAGTACAAGGTCCTGGTTACAGTTCCTCAAGCAAGTGACAAGGGCGAGTGATCACTTCTTGATTGGAGTCCAGTTAGCAGCCAACTTTGTGTTGTGGAACAGACTAATGTAGCGAAGTAATGCTATTATTAGATCATGCTATCATGTGACTAGCTTCACGCAAATCAACGTATCAACAAAAGTATCCATGTGAGGTGCCCACATTCACGAGCAGAAATTAAACGGTTCTTGACGGGAACAGTCAGACCCGTAGCATTATAATGCAACTTCAAAGATAAATGCAACCCGGTTTCACTTACCAAAATTGCACGTAAACCCCGAGCTCCGGTACGCTGAGTAAGTGCCTCCCTGGCAATAGCTTTTAGAGCATCTCGAGTGATTTTCAGTTCGCACTACAGAAGCAAAGGCAAAAAAGAACGAAAATTATACACTGCCCATCACGGGAAACAAAACCGAGGATTCTAAAATGCCTATTTTAATCAGGGTCTAAAATTTGTACCGCGACGAAGACTGGTACGGTCAGCACAATGCGAGATTTTTTTCGTGTTCTCGATGAAAGTTGGAAATATTCCTGGGCAACCACGATGGCTAAGTTCAACGCGGTTCCTTCGTACGCCTTCGGGAAACGGTAGCTGAATTCCGATTGACGTTGGACCCAATGCTTCACCGCTCGTATTTGATGGTTTCTCTTTAGTTGGAAGAAATTCGAAGCAAACAAGGGGATGATACGCAGGCTTGACCAGGTCAATTGTACCAAGCATTCAGGGTGGGATCAAATTAACACATCAATTAAGACACTTGACAATAATGCCAAGTGAATTTATAGAGACGTTCGACGTTCGCTCACTTAAACCAACACGTATGTAGAAAATCCTCAACTTCTAGACACCATCCCAAGCTTTCGTTGAAACTTTTTTCGTTCTTCATTATACGATTCATCGGATAGCCAGCCCGGAAACTAAAGCACAGAAGTAAACGGTCAATTGCTGTGCAAACAAGAATTCGTGCGTTTTACGGAAAAGTTGTCCAGTAAAGACGTGCAGTAAATCGAAGCAAAGGTATTTTTATTGTGAAACATTCCCTCTGGAAAAGATGTGTTTAAAGAGAAAACAATATAAGAATAGCCACTAACCAAGTAGTATAACAATGCAATCGGGACGAGACTGCACCTTGACGTAGTGTGACGGCTTGTGCGCCACCATGACACTGCGAGCTGAACAAGATAGTTCCTCACAGCCGCAGATCCACTCATACCTGAAAAGTCAAGGGATAGGAGCCAGACGATGCTCAGTCTCAACGCCAAATGTTTGGGCACTTCCTGGCTTCCTTTGCCTGTCCGCTCTCGGCTCTGAAGTGGGCACTCGAGCGAAAAACACGTAAATGGACAACTTACCGGTAAAAACGGCAGATGGATGAACGAGCGGGGCAGCTAGAGATTCCTTCCGACTGCGGAAAAGTCTTCGCACTTCACTGGACAGCTACCGCCCACCTAAGCTCGGCAGCAAGCAGCCGATAAAAGACTGTCCGGTTCACGCTCCGCTTGTCTCACTGGGTGCATGAGACTAAGGGTCAATCCCGAACAGCGGATCGACAATTAACGCATTAACTAACAGCACACTGAACCAAAACCCAAAAACCTTGTATGACAGATCTCTAGAAGCGCCCACACGGGTGTTTCGGTCACGCTCCTGCTTTAGATCTACGCCCCATTGTTTCAGACATTTGAGTCAAAGGCTCCGGTCGGGGTTCTCAAAGAAAACCCCCTCTTTGTCGGTATGAGCTACCGCAAGTGTGTCATGCCCCAGAGCTTCAGGTACACACTTATAAAACTGTCATCTGTCCGGTTCTTCCTCTATCCCAAATCTTAGAGGATGCCTCCAGTCTACGCTATTGTGATACCGACCAGCGATCAACTAGTAAGGCCGAAAAACCAGAAGCTATCAGAATTGTGAAACTAAAATCTCCTCCTCACTGAGCCGCATTTGATGCCCATACACTCTAACAGATCGGTCAACAAGCTGCCTTAGCCAGAACCTTTGAAACGTTCAACTTAGATATGGGCGGTGTCTTTGTAACAAGCATACAACACCTTAATTCAATCATCACCTTGCGATCTCCAGATTTGACCTCCTCCTTATGCTTTACTCTCTGTGTCAGACGATTCAGCATCTGAAGCTCGCGTTCTTGTTGGTGTCGGGATGGCCCCAAGTGTCAGAGTCGAGCGCTTACTTATTGATTCGATTCCGGTTGGTGGCGCACTATGCGCTATACATCTAGAAGGTTCAGTACCGGCCATCAGTTACAGAAAAAAGTGCCGTTGCTCATTTGACGTATCTTTGTATCCAACAACGGGTTGCAGTTCGCCAGAAACGAAGGATGAAGTCCGCAAGAACCTCTCTTAACTGCTCCAAAGTGGTGGGTCAACGGACATCGTGGTAATCGCTGGAAACTTCATTGTCTAAGTGGGATCCGCGGGCACATCAAAAAGGCTTCTTTTTATTACTACACACCTTAGTGTAATGAACGGCGGATGGGGTGAACCCTATGGTCACGAGGACCGGTTATTCAACGATGGAAACCGGCAACCCAAGCCGAAGGACTTGGAGTGGCAAACCACATACGGTTAGGCGTGGTATTCAACCAGAGAACAGTAAGGCCGCCTACATCTGCAATCAGAACCGACCGGACAGACTGTTGAGATGGCCTACTCCAACTGTATGCTGATCCCAGACTGCTCCTATCAAGCATAAGAAACGATATCGTCTTACATGAAAACCGCCAACCTCTTCATAACGAGAGACTCAAATCGACATCATCATCAGCTAACGCTGGCAAGCATCCGCTGAAGACTGCAGCAGCCACTGGTCAACACCTGAGGCCACAGACCATGATCTGCTACGAGCCAGATTCTCCCTACGTCTGGTAAACAACCACAGAAAAGTCACCGGAAACGGATGCCCAAAATACTATGTTAGCGATAATTGCAAATCGGCCTCTGAAGCGTTACTCTCTGAGCGTCTTTTAGCTCAACGATCAGTCAAAGGACCTAGTGAACACCGGAAGAAAGTGATTAAAATGTCAATCCAAATAACGGTGGATTGTGGCGCACGATCAAAGTAAAAACGATGTATCTCCGAACCCGGTTGCCTTGTTGGACGCTCGCAAAGCCATACACTTTGATGCAAAATACGACAAAGCACGCAACTACTTTAAACGCCACCTCATCAAGAAAATGAGGAATGGCAGCCAGAAGTGGGGGATGGGCAGGTACAGAGAGATGGAGACGGCTCTCGGCAATAGTCTCAATCTTTTTCGTTTAGTAAGCAGTACAGATTAGGGAAAAGTAGGTGAGGTAATTAAGGATTATGACGGAATACTGATTCACATTCAGCAACGCCGAGCTGAACGATGGACAGAACATTTTAAGGTACAGTTCATCTGGCCCCCATCGATACCAGACCCCTGAATTCCTACTTTAACTGGGCAAATACTGCTAATTGTTATCAATACTCCATTTTGAATGAAGGTTGCTCGGGAAATCAGTTATCCTCAAAAGGTCTAAGGCCTCCGGTCCGGATGGGTTGTCCCCAGCGGTTTTTTAAAATGGAGAGTCAGCCCTGGTTTTGGAGAAGACGAAACTCCTGAGAACGGTGGGGGAGAGTGAGCAGGTTCCAACGGAAAGATGCGAATCGTACATCACACCGATTTACAAGAAAGGTGACAGATCCTCTTGTGAAAACCACAGAGGAATTAGTTTAATCAACACTGTCTCTAAGCTTCTCGCCGATATTATACCCCGGTGGTTAGAGGCATTGAGTGATGTGGCTGAATGTCACAAACAGTGGTACTCGTGTAACTACTCAACATTCTTGCAACCCCAGTTCAAATGATTCTTACATCATTCTTTTTGACTGTGCTATCAAAATACTAATCTCCATTTTGCTCCTTTATCCAAATGGGTAGCCGAGAGACTGTAACCAAAACCAGCGCATGAAAATGCATGTTTAATGGTTGTAAAAACTGAAACTGAATGTGACAGTGAATTGAGTGGAAAATTCTACCAGGCAGATAACACATTCAGCGGCAAAAGCTTGAACACTACCACTCCACTTCTGGGTAAACCATAACATCAACTTGAGTACAACAGCATTCGTCAAGTAAGAAGCCTCAGTACAAAATTTCAAATCCGTGAGTGCGATCGTAAAGAAAACTTGGTTGGAAACAGAAAATAACGCTTCAGCAGATGTCCCGTAACCTTGACACACTTTCTGGATTCTCCCGGAATCACGCTAGATATCGAATCCTGACCAGGTGACCAGCCTTGTCCAGGAGCTAACTCATGTGATAGAAAGCTGGCCTTAGGAGAGAACGAGTGTTTGCATTTTAACGCTATATTGATTAGACACCGATAAAGAATTCGAAATTCGATATGCTTGACTATGTTGATTGCACCTATGACTCGTGGTTAGAGACTTTGAAATACTGACAGAGCGAATGGACGTGTTTAATCAAATAGAGTGCAATATAGAAGAGATAGCCAAAGGATGCAGCCAACTAAGACTCGTTTTAGGTTCGAAAATCCGATGCGTACATGCGTGCACTAGCTACCGCCACCAAGTGTTGAATGGTCAAACAAGAGAAGTCCTTCAGCAGGATGGGGCCACAGTTTACAAATGCCTCCGCCCTTACTATGGTTGGAAGTGGATGTCTTGGGTTGTGACTGACCACCCTTCGTTTACATTTTGCAAAGCGCTCCTATTGGACCAAGTGCTTCAAATAGCATCTGTTAAGAAAGCCTGTCTCACAACCTGCATGTGGTGAAGTTAATTCCCCAAGGAAGTGAGAAGATGGAAGTTCAACATACGGGGCTATAACCGAGTCGATGAACCACTAGCAGTTAACCTAAGGGAGCTATCCAAAATTTTTGGTTTTAAACCAATCAAGATATGTACAAACACCGTCCTGATGACAGATTTTCTTAGAATTCAGAAACTATTGGACACCTTGGAGACGTGACCCTGTCCAAAGGATGTATGATCTAATGAAGTGGACGCTGGCCCCCAATGGACTGCAGTTTTGAAACACTGCTGTGATCCCGGGGGGGGGGGGGGGNAAGGCTTCGGTTGTGAATTCCAACCAGAAATCTCATCTGCTTTGGAGTGGGAAGCCTGCCAGGATCAAGCCCACAAGCAAACAACGAAAAATTTTCCCTTTATAAAGATTATTGTACCGCAATTCATTCGGCACAGTCTGGAATACGGCGTGTAGCTTACAAGTTTCGTATGAAATCTTGATACCAGACTACTGCACTCATATTTAAAAACAGTTATCGCGCCACACTGAGAAGTGGAGATACTGCTTAACTGAACGGAGTTCAAAACCACTGTCGCGGAGATTTCGAGGACTAACCTTACTATTGACCAACAACGCATGCATTCAAATCACAGAAAGTGACGGCCGACTAACAGAACTCTTTCGCATTAAATTCGAAATCACAGATGGTTCAATAGCTCGCCGATTTGCGCAGAGATGTCCACTAACATAAACATTGGTTATTACAGTTTGATTTTCAATCAATAAGCCATATTCATATGTCACGATCAGTGATATGGGTTTTTATAATTAAAACACACCACAGTACTTCGTGTTGTGTGCAACGCNCATCTGCCGAGATCGAGAACCATAGACTTGCAGACAGAGGCCGCATTCCGCTCCGGTCCTATTTTGGGTCTATAACGACATCTGTACAGTTTTCTTTTTTTCACGAAAACGCTGAACTCAACTGGTTTATTTCATTGACTAATCTCAATTAGTAATTGATGTGCAAATTGGTACATCACGGTCATTCAGCCAAAGTCAAAGATCAATTGTGTTACACTTCGTTTCAACCTACAAATCAATCTACAGCGAAATCTGCAGCAATACAATCGATATTTTTACTTGGGCATTTTGGAATATTATTAATTTGTGGTCTCGCAGATATTGATACATCTGTACGAGCATCCTGATACGTCACAAACCATTTTCCGGTCGGATTATTATTCTGACTTTGAGAAGGGAATCCGTTCAAACAAATAAAGCATTCGACAAGGAACGCATGCAGAATATGGATAAACTGGTCAAAATTCAATATGATTATGTATTATTGGCTAGACATATGATAAATCGCTGATTCTGCTCAAAGCTATGAATGCGCGGGTCGAATAAAATGATGAGCGGCCTTTATACGTGAGTAGAACGTTGGACAAAAAATCGGTCCCTAGAACGTCAGCATGTACAAACAATTACAACCAGTAAACGATAAATATGAGGCATCAAATACGCATGACTGACCTGATCAATGCCAAAAAGAAGTTGATATTGTCGCAATAACGCATTTCGCGGTTCGGTCAGAATACGTACGAGCATCTCTTCGTCTAACGAGTGCAGGACAGTGATGATAGGGAATCGACCTACAAATTCCGGGATGATACCAAAGTCTATTAGATCCCGAGCTTCGACTTCGTGCAATAATCGATCTCGCTCCTCGTTTTCCTCCATAGCGGACGTTTCAAATGCAGTGCGCATATGATCAACGTTGAACATGTCTATCGGTTCGGACTCAAAATCTGTGATTCCGGGCTTCCCACCATCTGGGAGTGTGCTAAGGTCAGCGAAACCGACCGTCTATGAAATAGTAATGGGGACAAGGAAGTATTTCGCACAGGAATATTTAGCTTTACTCAAGTGGCATGATCTTATCAACATCAAATTTCAAATCAAAAGCAAAGTGATGAGGCCAGCGGAGACCCGAATATGAGTTGAAGAACGAAGAAGTTACCGGAACCTGTTGCATACATCCTCACCCCAGCTTTCCCACTGGGGTGTAGGAAGTCTTGGATATTACGTAATTAAAATCCGTAAGGAAATTTCTCGTAGTCTGGTATAGTGACGCAGCTTTGTCAACTCTTACTGTTTGCGAGTGCCCTATTGGAAAACATCCGGTCTGAGAAACAAAACATTGCTAGAGCATGAGCAATCAGATCATGAAAGTTGGATTACAACCCACATTAAAAATCGAGAATACTACCACCGGAGGATAAACGTGATCTGATTGAAGATTTTACGCATTATGTTTATGGATGCGTCTTGTGAAAAAAAACCTCTATTTAGAATTCATTGACGTTCCCACTCTATTTTAGCTTCTAGATCAACTTGTTACCAAACAAAATAAGCACCGCAAAGAAAATGAATTCAATTAAATGGATGCACCGAAAGTTCTCAATTAAAAAAGAATCGTACTGACTGGGTCAGTTCAGGTTGTTTGCTTTGGGGGGTTATGATTACAGGCAAATCATTAGAATGTACAATCGGTCTAAACAACGCATTTGGTGATTACCATTGGCGAGAATTTCCGCACATGAGATGAAAAGATTAACTACAAGTAAATCTTTGTAATTTATGCCGTTTTTCTGCAAAACCTTGGGCTATTCAACTCTGGAACGACAGTAGTTATACAATGAGCACCAAAATTATCCGGACACCAGGTTATTTCTAATCAGCTTCCATAGTTCGAATATAATGGTCATCTTGGATACCGTGGTCACAAAAGCAACATCGTAAGGATATTCATGGAGATGTGGTTGAAATTCAATCGTTTATCTATCTATCTATCTATCCGTGTCTATCTATCTATCTATCTATCTATCTATCTATCTATCTATCTATCTATCCATCTAATCTATCTATCTACCTATAGATGAAACGGACGAGACCAAAAATAATTGGGGCGAAAGGCGTTCCCTAAACACCTTATGCGACACTAATTACACACAGTAAGATGCATCCAACTCACCTTTCTGTGTTTCCGACGCCCAACGATTTTGTCGAGACCGTTGAAAGCACCAGATGCAATGAATAAAATATTTGTAGTGTCTACCTGAACGGTTTCACCGCGTAATTTGCGCGAACTTTTTCCATCCGGTACATTGACAATAGAGCCTTCAAGCAGTTTCAACATACCCTGGAATAATTGAATGAGCCAAGCAACAAATGTAGAGGCGGACAAAAAAGGATAAGAACTCACAAGGGGAAAAATAAAAAAGACTACCCAACTGAGAAACCTAACGTGAACCATGTTTCTGATTATCGCGGTTCCCATTATCTCGGCCCATATTTTAATCTGATCACCTTCAATCCCGTTCTATTTAATATCTCCTTCGGATAAAAAGGGAGGGAACCAATCTGGTGAGGAGTGTAACATATGCCTTAGAAATCTAAATCTATGAAAATCAATCATTTTCTACGGGGCGACTGCGTAAAACACAGCCCAAACTTGTCCAGTTGCTCAATCAAACTCGCACGATAAGGTGTAGACAGTGATTTTCGAACACCGATAGTCAACCTCTGTCCTTTTCCTGTAATGGCCATGACGCTACATCATCATCATCATCATCGTACAGCGAAATACAGTGAAGCGAACTTCACTGGCAATTGTATTGCAATACGATTGCCAAGCTCGGCGAACAAATGAACATCATATTATACCACCCGAGCTACAAAAACAACAATCAACACCGTTGTTTACAAATATATATATATATATATGACATCACTGGCTTGAGGATAAGCATGGTTACAACATAATAACAAAGCTAATTTAGATGGTTAGAATGGGGATAGATAAGTGAGACGAAAAGGGGAAAAACAAATAACTGCGAACAGGAAGTACAAGTGAATGAATGGTTGTTGATTAGTGTACACATTTTGATGAGGGTTTTTCTTTCGGAGAAATTGGATTTCAACAACAAAAAAACGCAAAACAATGGCGCCATTGACTTCTATGCTGACCGCATCTCTAACCATTGGCAATCTTCATCACTTGGGCCCCAGTCTGGAAGACGAATTGCACCAACGAAGCTCGGCGAGACCAGGTGTCGCAACCATAAAGTAAAACACCACTAGCCGCGGCGATGTACGTCGTTCCTTTAAGAGAAAGTCGGATGGTGCCAAGGCACGACATATTGGGCAACTACTTAGCATTCGTAATAAACGAACGGCTCTGACTGATGTTACCAGGTGAGAGGAAGAAAAGCCAACATCCGGGACGATAGGCGAGTCGGTGAACCACTGGCAGTTCACCTAGGGAAGTTAGCTAAAAATCATGATTCCAAACCAACCAAGAAGAGTACGAACCAAAAATACCTACATCTTCCTGGTTGTGGCAGTCGTCACCGGCTTAATTGGGCATCGAAGTGTATAAGCAACTTGTACGTTTGATCCAGTCAAAGGGCATATGATCCGATGAACTGGACACCGGTCCCCAATGGAATGCGGACTTTAAGCTCCACCCTACTGTCTTTCAGGCCTTGCTTTCTAGCCCAATGGTTCAGGTGGGGAAATCGACGTTATCCTCCTTCGGGTGCGACACTGCTAAGTTTCCCAGCAGAAAGCAGGTGCACTCTATAAGGGAATTCATAACTAGAGCCCTCGGCAAACCAAAACCTGACCCTTAAGGTGGCGGGGTGGTGTGTGAAAACCGCAATCAACGACTCGCCCATCGCCGCGGATATTGGCTTTTCGTCCTCTAACTTTGACGGAAAAACACCTGCGTCACGAGAAGGCAGTGAATAGGGCTTCCTCAGCAGGTGTTTGAGACGCTTGGTCAAATGGGAGCATTTTGCTAGGTGCAAGGGAGGGGTGACCAGCCGTAATGCGAGACATCCACTCCCAGCATACTGAGGCATTTGGAGGCACCTATTGTTGGTTTATCACCCAGTATTTCGAGTCCCGAACAGTGTGTTGCTTAAGACAACAGAAGAAGCCACAACCTTGTGCATATGCGAAAGCAAGCACCCGCTCAGGTCGTTCGGAAAACAATAGTTGCGCTCCGGTCGCAGCTGACGTTAGCTGCTTTCAACGTTTGAATGCTTATACAATTTAGGGCTCAGGAAGCACTCGCTTGTATATTGGAAACGCTTGTCATGAACCGTTTTGTTGCCTTGATAAGACGTGCCTACAGGACTCGAGCATCTTACCCTCTACCTCTCCAGGGATCCGATTGCGGAGGCCGCTGGTCAGGCTGGCGTGGGGATAGACCTGAGTGCACGTTCAGAAGCAGCCTTTTTCGACTGGATTACAATCAACAGTCAACTGTGAGCCATCCGTTCAGAAGATTCGGTAAAAGCATCTCGTAATGGGACAAAGAAGCGTTGTGTTCGTTATTGCGACTTAGGTACTAACAGACTGCAGTCCCGACGCGTTCCACCATCAGCCCACCAACCTCCTCCATAGAAGACGACACACTGACATTGTGATAATAGATGAACTAAGTTATATGCGGACAAGACCTCACTTAGGGGTTAGCACAGCCTCGGTGTTAAAACTGACAACGGTGACCGACTCCTGCAAATCTGCGCTTCGAGCACCAATTGTCGTCAACCACGGCAACAATGTGCCACCTAGTGACCCCCATCGTCTGTTCAGCTTTGGAGTTGAATAGCTCGGATTGCCATCACCTATTGATGGAGAAACTGCATAACGGAGTGCTAATCCCTCTGGAGCACTTGCCACAGCTCAAATCAAACACATGTGTGCGCGAAATTTCCTCTACACCTTGGTGAAAAACGTCACCCGAGAAGAATCGATATGATGAAACTGACCGACCCAAAAGTAGTTACTGCCTACGAAAACATGTTGACCGCTAATCTAGACAGTTTGTCATCCCCGAGGGTTGATAGCCAATGTGCTCACATCCGTATTGTCATGCATAAGTCTGGTCGCACGGCAAGCGGCTTGACCAGACGCATTGCCAACCACTGGGTTATTGGCCGATTTGTACTTGAACCATTTTCATATTTCTTTCTTCATATGTTGTGGCATATTCGCCAATTCTATGCTATTGGCTAGATGTTGACTAGAATCGAGTGGGGGTTGATTCTACCTTTTCGGCTAGCACAATTTGAAAGACGATGAGGCATGCTGGTTGACACAGCTTATCAGTCTAACCGTCGTCGTTTCCTGCGTTTAGAACACCCACTGAAACACAAAGACAGAAAGGCGTCAACTAAGGTGTGGTCGGATTTGAGGGGAGTGCTTCAGTAAAATCAGCAGTTTTGTTTGCAGCCCAGCTAGTTGCGGCTTATATCGATGTCGTCGCTGACTCAAGGAAGATGGACAGCAAGTGGTGTACCGCTACCTGCATCATCTGAAGTTCTTACTAACGAGGAATAGGCGATTGTCAAAACACTAAGCCAACAGCCGTTCTCCGTTTTCCAAGCGACAGGAATCTAATTTGAAAGGACCTTCCAGGTGCGCCTCACACGAAGTCAGCCAGTCTATTCTAGCATTCATACCCAGTGCTAAAATTACGATATCAGCACCCACCCCTGAGTTTCACTGATCACAACCGATTATCGACTGGGACCCAATCTAGGAGCGCAGCTTTGGCTCTCCCGATGAGAGTCACACTAGTGCCAGCGAGACCAGAAGCCACAGCTTTACGGTTCCGAGAAAGGCGCTAGTGAAACTTTGCAGATTGGCTTGCTGGAGATGTCCATCGGTTAGTTGGTGCTGAATGCTAGTCTCTTGGGCGCAACACACATGGATGGCTAGGGTTTCGAGGGTACACGTTAAACACGACTACTGTCCTGCACGCATGCACGTTGAATGTGGCTAGTTTAAAAGGGTTTCGAGGACAAGCAATAGCTTAAATAGGTGGAGAACGACTCGGTGAGACTTTGGCGCTAGTTCAGGTAGGACGCGAGAAAATACGAATAGGACTTCGACCCGAGGCACTACTGAAGTTCCCGATGGAATTGAAAATGTGGGCAGGGTTGAAGGTGAGATGGAGAGATTGGGGAACAAGAAGGTGTGTACAGTGTAGAGTGGCTTTCTATAATTGAGAAAAGCTGTAAGTGCAGATTCGTTGATGAGAGAAAGTTAATAGTTCGTGGTTGTATGTTGTGGGCCGTTGTTACTAGGTCTTCCAACCCAGAGAAGGCCACGTCACAGCGCTGTCAAAAGACACAAGCGGTGCTTCCTACAGAGAACCCTTGCCAAGTGATCAAACCACTACAACCTCGAGTACTGCCGCCGATCGTTCGCGACCGCTTATTGGGGGGGGGGGGGNACTGAGCCTACCTTATTCGTGGTTGGTGACCGTTCCCTTATCCGCGACCTAGAGATGCGTTCGGTCACAAAAAGCGCTGCCCTTGCCGAGGATGTTTCATGTTGGTTAACGGTGATCCAGGCTTCTGCATGAGTTACGCGTCCGCTCGGTGAAATGTACTTACCAGAATGGTGAAATGTGACTACGTTCTTGATTTCCTTCTCTGTTGGAGGTTGGGAGCTAGATGCACCCAATCCTGTCAAAGCATTTTACATAAGGTATAACAAGTACAGGTACAGCAACACTTAAACCGTCCAGAAAAACTGGTAACTCATCTGGGTCATATCTCTACAGTAATTTATTCTACTTCCCTGAATGAGACAAAACGAAATCCGGAGATTATTAGCACCGCTATCCTCGCACGAGGAAAACGCGATTTCCTGAATTACATCCACTCCAGTTGACAAGAAAATTAGACTGAGCATCGCTTTACATGATGAACTCGGGCGGAAAAAGACCGTAACCTTGAACTTGATTTCAGTAGTCGCTACGCAGTGATCGGAAAAGATAAAGAAACTTCTTGGGTACGTCATTCGAGAATGAGATCAATCGAGTTAGACGTTTGAGAAAAAGGAAGACGGAAATTGTTCGTCTACATAACGGACGCTCATATTCCAGAATTCAAGGGTGAAAATACGACTGATGCAACCTCGATTCGGTGTGGTTTTCATGCGTGCGCCATGCACGAGTAGCAGAAAATCGACGCAGATTGTAGCTTTGACGTGATGTTAATCAAGTCTATTTCTCTGCGACTCTCACAAGCGGATCCAGTCCCTTTCTTGTGTATTGATATGGCATTTGCCTCATCCAAATCCACCGGAACTTGTTCGCTTTCCCATAATGAACACAGGAGTTTATCAACTCCAAAACTAAGACTGATTTAGCAGCCTATGTGGATGCAGATAACTTCTCCGGACCAGGGATCTTATGCATTTTATGGTTACTTTTCTCCTAATTAACAAACATTTTGTCAGGTTGAAGCAAAAGTTGGCAGATCGAGTGACAGTAGAGGCCAGTTAAACTGTCCTGAAATAATTTGCTGATCGGTTCAAATGGCACTGATGGATGTGAGTCAGCATACCGTTGGACTCTTTAACAACCTTACTTAGGCCTGATTTCCGTGGCCCTATATCGATTACTAGACTGAAAAAATTGCGACGGTTACGTTTAGCGACCCATTATTTCTCGCAGTCATGCAAGTCATCGGGCAGGCTTCCCTGACAGTTGGTAGATGTGGAAAGACCAGTAGTTAGACCAAGGCTTTCGCATGGGGCTATGAAAACCTTAACCAGTAGAGTCACCCTCACAGAAAACTGATTAAGGAGCTTGTGAGCGTCCGATACAGTGATATCACTGGATGTCGTCAACAGTAACGACCGTGTATCTACCCACTTTCGCACCAGATCCGGCTTAGGTGCGTTTGGACTCTTCTGTTTGCCTTTAGCTCAATGATTGAACAAATTGTTAGTCGAACGACAACAGTCAAAACCGTCGCATTAAATGTAGGATTAACCGTTGCGTAAACGGACACTGTATCATTTTTTCGATATATCACTGTAAGCATCAACATATATAGTTCGATTAATCAGGAGATTAATACAAGGCCTAGGATGATGTTAAATGAATGTCTATGTGCAAAATGTTTGATTAGCATCAAGCTGTGGGATCACGATAATTGGATAGGGAAAAGCCGAGTGAAAATGTATGAAATGGACACGATGCGAAAGGTGTTATTCGAGAATGAATAAGACATGCGAGAAAAAGATAGTAAAAGAGGAGTGGGGAGAGAAAATACAAAGTATCACATAGAAATAGTTTTTTACAAATACTGAGTAGAGGACCTTGAACTTGTCATCATAATATTCCGAAGTCTATCAGCGAAAGGGGAATTTTCACCAACATGGTACTTTAGATTGTGTACAATGAACAGAACCAATGTAATCTTCGAAAGGTCGGAGGAAACACCAAAATTGTTTACGATTTTTGGGGCGGAAATCTTCCTCTGAAGATAGTATACATGTGTATACATTTGCACTTTCCTAGATGCACATGTGCCGGATATTACAAAACTCGGTCCCAGAAGAAAATCTCTGGTTATACGGAAATTCAACAACTAAATCACAGCCGAAAACATCGTGCGCAAAAGTTGTAAACATCGCTTTAACTAAGGACTACGAATATTATGTGATTTCATTCAACTCGATGATATCACCTATCGTCTTCCGCCCGATAGGGACGGTTCCTCCGGTTTTGAAGCTTCATCACTTGAGTTTATCGTCAAGATCCATACCACCTCTATTCTATTGAAGCCTTCTGTGGTTCACCACTACTAGTCCCAGGTCATAGGTGATCATGAGAGAAGAGCAGGTGTAAGAGGCATTTTATAGGTGTAGTACCTCTGAGGTAACAGACCATCATGTCCCTGGGATTTCCTTCGCCTCTTTGGTCTCCGTCACTTCAGAGACATTCGCTTGTGATTCACGTAAGCTGAGACACATCTATGGCCACACAACAGTAAAATGCTCGACATTTGGGCTGAATTGCGGGTAACGGACAAGTAAAACCTCGACGAGACTATGTACAGCACACAAAAACAGATACCTTCTGAATGGGTGGGCGGATGAGATGAGCGCCTGATCCAATGACCACAAGGGAAACTTATAAAAATAGGAAGGATCCAACCGCCCCTGAGCTGAATCGACAAATCGAATGCGCTTCTAGTCAGAAACAGACAACTACGCACGAACACACTGGTTCCAGTTTTCACATGGCTGTACAATATATATATATATATATATATATATATATATATATATGTATATAACAAAACAACAGTGGCGAACAAGCTCGTTTTCGTAGATTCGTATTCATACCAATATATCTCAATATATATCACTATTTGGGATTAAAATTGTCTTGGGAAAATAAGATAAAAAATTACCACAGATTACTAGAAACGATTTCACCGTGAGACCGGAGATCAGGATCACCACGATCACATATTTGTTTGTCCACTAACCCGAAAATCGAGATTAATTAATGCTTTCGGAGCTTGTCAGGAATCTGTATGACGAATTCGTGTCGTTCTACTTACATCACCCGGCCAAAAATAGTAATTAGCACATCCGTCTTGAGGAATTTCCAATTAAACTCGTCTTTGAAATGCACCAGTCAGGTATGTCAGAATGAATTTGTAGGTGCCAGACGACTGGAGACTTCATTGGTATTACATTTTTACTCGAATGATAACCGAAACGAGAGCGTGCAAGTGAATGGTTAAGAGTTGTACAAGCTGGAACTGACAAGTTGATTTGACAGCAAACTTCACACACCGCATTCAGTCAGGGTTTGTTTGGGGGCGTTGTGAACAGTATCATGAGAAGCAATCACAGCATTCAGTAATGCAACAGAGATTGACGATACCTAATTATCCTTCGGCGGGCGTTGTGCGAAAAGCTTTTGTGGTGCTCGTTTTAGTTCAAATGTTCATGTGTGCAGGCGGTCACTCTTCATCAAGAATTCAGTTGTGCCTGCACCTATTGAGATAAGTCTGTTTAAGAAGCCCAGCGGGAACAGCAATCCTAAGCATGCTTTACGAGACGTGTTTACATCAACACAATCACAGATGAGGTGTGAAGAAAAGTAGGTATGTATAACAATCGGCATTATTTTCAAGGTCTAAATCACCAAGTGATTCTAACATCAGTTCAGTTCAGTTCAGCTTGAACAACCATTAACCACGCATATTCGAGCGCAGGTTTTGGTTGCTGTCTTTTGGCTGCCCATTTGGATGAAGAATAGGAAAAGAAAGGAAAGTTGAAAGTGGAGCCGAAAAGAAAATGGAGAAGTTTAGTGGTCTAAGGTTGCAAAGAAATTGATTTTAACATAACCGTTTGAAGTCAGTTTTCACGAGGACCGCTGAGCTACTAGTAAGCTAAGGCCGCTAAGCACTGACATTGACATGACATCAATGCCAGGAAAATGCCTGTCGGTTTTAGACAAAATTGAGAGGTGTAAGCCGTCCATTGGTTAAGCAGTCGAGTGCAAGTGAGACAAAAAAACCTAGGTTAATTCTTTTTAACAATGTGAAATCGTTTCTTATCCAACAAATTATTCAGCATCGAAGTTGATGCGCGAATTTCTCTTGAAGGTCACTATACATGTCTATAAGGTCAATGATTAATAGTCGGTACAGCCATGGAGAATTTCACAATTAAAAACCCGTCACAACCAACTCAATAATTGGAAAATAATCGAGTATGTGATAAGAAAAGACAGTTCGGTGCACAAGTATACACAAAAATTTAGTAGTTACAGTTTATGCCTCATACGCATAATGTTTACGAATGTTTGATGCTACTAAATAGAAGCACTCGGATGACTTATGAAAGTTCCAGTCCCTAATTATCACGTATCAGATGTGTGCGTGCGCTAGACGAAAGCACACGAATCTCAGCAACCATACGCGACTAGGGTTAGTTTTTTTCGGGAAAAGTATGGCAAAGTTATGCACTTACGCCCAATGACTGAATCACGTGCGAACAAAACCAACCGAAAATCACGTGAACAGTTGAAGAAAAATCGCATAGCGAAATGGCACTCCAGTATCCGCTGAGGGTCTAAGGAATGATGCATTGATCGGTAAATAAACTGATCGAGGATGAACAAGCAACAGCACAACAGTATTTTTGCTCACTCAAACGGCTGACAAATGACAAAGATGGGTTCTTTTATGTGAGGAACACAGAAATTGGAGGGCACACTTACTTGTTGCACACCTTCTCCCCCGACATCTCGGATGGAATGAAGGAAGCCAGCTTTGCTGCTGATTTTGTCCACTTCATCTAGGAATACGATACCCTGCTGAGCACGTTCCACATTAAAGTTCGCGTCCTGCAGCAACTTAGCAATGACTGATTCAATATCCTCGCCCACGTAGCCGGCCTGTGTCAGCGTGGTACAATCACAAATAGCGAATGGGACATCCAAACACTGAGCTAGGGTTTGCGCCAGCAGTGTCTTACCTAGAAATCATCAGAGGTGTAATGGTTTAATCAATGTATGCACTATTGTGGGCATCAAGTCTGCAAGGAACAGTAAAGCATTTGGGAGAATAAAACAAGGTACAGTTCAAGTATAGTGGTGAACTACAAGATGCCAAAAGACAAGATGGGGTATTGTCGCGGACAGTATCAGAACGGTGGATTTGAAAGCTATTTCTTTACTTTAAACTCTGAGCGACTAGATCCTGTGTGAGGATAAGCCGGCTTCATGGATGAATTCATGAAGTGCCAGGAAAATAGGATAAACGACAACCGTTAAGGGAAGAGATAGTTGCAGTGCCGAAGAAATATGTTTAACACACATCAGACAAATGTCTTACTTAACAAGTTTATCTAAGTCATGATGGAAAAAACGCATAGATACGCAGCATAATTTACTATACACGAGATTAACCTAGGGTCATTTCGAATATCTCGATTAGATAAACGGGTTCCGTTATTAGAACGCAGTTGATCTGTGCAACTGAAACCATGGACCACTGCTTCACGATCAGTGATAAACAAAACCGGGTAGGAATTGATAATTAGATAAGCGCATTGTGGTTGTTTCCCGGCTATTGGTATACAGGTGAGAGGAGTACGCGTTGAACTGGTGCAATTTCCGAGATAGAAGAATGTCAGTAAGAATATTTTCGACAAGAAAATCGTCATTATCGGCACGAAGCAAAACATAGTACTGCGGACTTCATAGACTAAAGACGAGCATAAAAACAAATACAAAATGTATAAAATCAATACAGAGTTGGTCTCACTGAGGAAGAGCAAAATAACGATAACCAATGGTGCTTACCACCGATAGGAAAGACAAATTAAGTGCACATTAAAAACTCCCAGAGAAGTCTGACCTAACAAGCAAGAAAGCGGTCACCGTCAATTTGATACCATGTACTTCATGGTCTTCAACAAAAAGTCCACAACGTGTGTGGACAACAAAACAGAGGACAAGAGACACTTACTCGGCTGAATCTCTACACACGTCGTTTCCAAATTATCCAAGGGCATAATAGAATTGCTCTCACGATCGCTTCATGTTCAAGCTTCTTGCAGTGCGTGCATAAACTTATTATAACAGTATCATTCCCTATCTGGCGAGAGTTTTAGCAAACCACACCCACATTATTGTTCATTTTGGGTTAGCTTTCACAGTTCATTTTCTTTCATCCTTTGAACATAACATCTTCTTCCATACTTTCTGAATCATGCTGAAAATTCACCCGTTAAGAAGCCGAAAGATTATCTGGAGTTGACTTGACTTGACCTTTTTGGTTCAACTTATTTACGTCTAACTAGGCAAGCTCAAGCGGTAAAAGACCTCGGAATTCTCCCAAAAGCAAATTGAGGATTCACAATCGCTTTATGGAACGGACAACAGCATGAAAGTACGGCCTACCATTCATCTCAGGTGAAATAATAGGTCAACGCCAAGGGTATTTCAGTCTCGCGTAACCCCAGTGGAGCCTGTGGTATGCGCCGATTTACTTCTTTCTTCGTGCTATCATCATTCGTATGACGACTACTTGGGCAGATCAATCAATCGACCATGAACAATCAGTGATTATTAAGTTGCAAATTGTGGATGGTTGACATGCAGCCTGGTAGCACCATTTTGCAATCTGAAGGCTCAAAGTGAACATTGAGAGCAGTAATAGCTCTCGTGAGACATTTTGCATTTAAACGGACAGGTAACATCATTAGCATACCGCAAACTGAAAGATTTTGCTCTAGGTGTTTAGTCAATGCCAACACTATGAAAACCATTTTTTGCACTCCCCTTCATAGGGAGATCCGACAGGAATATTGGGGTGGTGGCGCAGTGATTAAGTAGCTATCACAGCCTGCAGTGGTTCGAGGTTCGATCCCCGTTATTATCACCCAACGGCGATGCTGGGTAGCTTTGCTGTCGTTCGGTTCATTACCACGCCCAATCTAGCGAGGAAGAACGTGGTTTACCACTCCAAGTCCCCGAGACTAGATTACCAGTTTCCATGCCTGAACAGTAGGTCTTCGTGACTATGCGATCCACCCAGTTCGTTGCTCATCACACAAGTGTGTGCTGTAAAAATGTACTTTGTAGAACAATGATGCTGGTTTCGTAGGGTGAACTAGACCAGGAGAGTGTAATTATAATGACTATTAATTCCGAGTTGACTGGTGGAACTGGAGCGGGTGGCATAAAGTGATAACTTAATCCACACAACCGTGGCTTGATCATAAACCGACCTTGCCGATCAGGGGGGATATTTGTCCCTCGCGAAGTCGAACACATATGCGGAGAGAAAATTCGATGATAGCTGTATTGTAAAGCAGTCGTTTTTTGCGGCTACTAGTTGAATGTGACAACGAACAGATAAGGAGGGAAAAAAGGAACCGAAAAAATTGTCATCCACACAAAAACGATTGAATGCGAAAGTGTAACAATGTGCATGAACGCACCCAATGATCATAAAAAGAACACCTCTAACCCGTTTATCGACATGCTAAGGTCAGGCGTACACACGCAACATGGATAAAGTACAATGAACGTGCAACTCCCACGAAACCAGGTCACATGTAAAAACCGTAAAGAACAAGTTTCAGCCCCACAAATCGATTAAGGTCACACTATACAACGCGGTTAGGCCCTATGACGAATAAGGCACGATAAACTTGCAAATATAGTACAAAGGTTATCACACAGGGTAGTGGGTATAATATTGGCAATGTAAGGATACTTATCACACTGCAAACCTATGATGTAGTAATGACGATTGAGAAAAAATTCCGACGCTTCAAATCAAAATCATACTTGATCTATCAAGACAGAAACACGATTTCACAACACGGTCGAAAACCGAGGAGAGTGACCGCGTGTGTGCAATCGCACATCTGATTACCTGCACTCGAGCAATCCACGTTAGAAAAGACTGAAGTTAAGTTGAACAGGGAAAAATTACCGGAAAGTTGACGTAACGGTTCTATTTTTTTACGAGCAAACATTTATCAACTTATTTACCTGAACCAGTGGGTCCAAGCATAACAATATTGCTTTTCTCCAATTTCACTTGCTGCTCTGCACTATCGTCCGAGAGTAGACGTGAACCGCGGCGTTTTTTCTCTCCCTCGCTGGACTGTTCCTGAGACTGATCGCTAACAAACGGAAAAGAAAGAGATCCTGCTCCGTTCGTACCGCTGCCTCCACTGGACATAGTTGGTGGGGTCTTGGTGTTACTCGGTACGCCGTTACGCAATAGATTGAAGAGTTCTACAAAAAAACAAACGGTTCACCAGGAAGTGCGACAATTACATATGTTTTTGTGAACACAAACATAAAAAACGTGGAAGATGTGGAAACAGTAGTTGGTCGTTAGAAAGATTTACTTTAGGATTGTGAACGCCTTTAGATATGATGCATTGAAAACCCTTCATGCTTGAGTTGAAATCCAAGAGTTTATTTACTTATTTTTGTTACGCACCTTATTGCGAAAAACAGCAGACGGGGAAAGTTCCTCGTAATTATACGAGGACCTGTTGTTTAGTCGTGGAAACCGGTACCCCAAACCCTGGGACTGGGAGTGGCAAATCGCACAAGGCCCCGCTACGTATTGAACCGGACGACATAGTT